AACGACTTATACAGTAAAAGACAGGCAATATAATCAACATGCTAACATCCATGACTTTTCTATTTGCAAATAATAAAACAGGAGAGAGAAATCAAAATAACAATCCCATTCACATTTGTACCTCAGATAATCAAGTAGCTAGGAATCAACTTAACAAAAGAGGTGAAGGACCTTGCAAAGGAAACTAGAAACTAGAAACACTATAAAAGAAATAAAAGAGGATGCGAGGAAATGAAAACATATCCCCTGCTCATGGATTGGGAGGATTAATATTATCAAAATGGCAATATTTTCCAAAGTATTGTATAGCGTCAATTCAGTCCCTATTAAAGTGCCCATGATATTTTTCAAAGAAATGGGTTAAATGACCTAACATTCATCAGGGAAAACACACACACACACACACACACACACACACACACACACACCAAATCAATCCTAGGTAAAAAGAAGATGGGAGGTGTCACTTTTCCCAACTTCAAACTGTATTACAAAGTGGTAGTAATTAAAACAATGTGGCTCTGGATTGATGAAATAGAATTGAAAACCTACAGACAGATCCTCAATTATACAGTCAGTTAATCGTCAAAAAAAGTGAAATAGTGCAAGGAAAGCCTCTGCAACAAGTGGTGCTGGGAAAGCTGGTGGGTCACATGCAATTAAAAATAAGGAACTTAGGTCCCTGTTTAATGCCATGCACTAAAGTCAAATCAAAATGGATTGGATATTAAATATAAAACCTCAATATCATACTTGAATCCGTCAGTTACATAGAGGAAAACACAACATTGAAGTTTGAGGAATTTTTAAGGATGCAATGCCACTGGCCAGGCAAGTGGGAACAAAGTAAAACAGATGAGGCTGCATTAAATTAAGAAGTTTCTGCTCCTCAAATGGGTTGGAGCCATAGCACAGCGGTAGGGCGCAGCCAGCCAGGCCGAGCCGGATTCGATTCCTCCGCCCCTCTAGGAGAGCCCAACAAGCTACCGAGAGTATCTCGCCCACAGGGCAAAGCCTGGCAAGCTACCCGTGACCTGGCAAGCTACCCGTGACGTATTCAATATGCCAAACACAGTAACAACAACTCTAACGATGGAGACGTTACTGGGCCTGCTCGAGCAAATCAAATCGATGAACAACGGGAGAACAGTGCTACAGTGCAGTGCTTCTCAAATGAAACAAATACAAAGAATACAAAGACAGACCACAGTCTGGGAGAAATTATTTGTCCATTACTATGTAATAAAGGGTTAGTATCCAAAATTATATAAAGCACTGATAGAACTTTATAAGAAAACACATCTAAACTCATCAAATAATGGGGAGAAGAGATTAACAGAAACTTTTTCAAGAAGAAATACAAATGGCCAAAAGACATATGGGAAAATGTTCTGCATCAGTAACCATGAGGAAAATTAAAATAAAAACAGCAATAAGACATCACCTCACATTACAAATATTGGCACACATCAAAAAGACCAGTATGTGTGGGGAAGTTGCTGTTGGTAGGATTGTCAACTGCTCTAGACTTTTTGAAAAACAATATGGAAATTCCACAAAATACTATGTATGAAATTGGGCTTTCATACAACCCTGCAATTCCACTCCTTGGAATACACCCCAAGAGCCCAAAAATTCAATGCAGAAAAGACAACTGCACACCTATGTTCATTGCAGCGCTATTCACAATAGCCAACATCTGGAAACAACCTTAGTGTCCAAGAACAGATTACTGGATAAAGAAAATGTAGTAAATAAATATCAGTGGAATACTGCTAAGCTGTAAGAAAAGATGAAGTCATGTAAGTTGCTGCTATGTAGATGGATTTAGAGAGTATCATCCTGAGTGAAATTAAAGGAAGAAGTACAGAGATGGAATGATATTTCTCATAAGCAGAACATAAATAAAAATAGCTGGGGAATAACAAATGCCCAAAGTCAATTTAAGAAAAAGAGCATGAGAACTGATCTCCAGTAGGAAGCTTACTACTGGAGTGTGCGGGTGGGGGTGGGGCAGAGATAGGTAGAAGAAGGGAACACTTAGACAATGGTGGAGGGAAGTGGTTGATGTGAAGGAGGATGGAGTGCTAAAAAAGGAGAAAAGTCCTGAAGACCAGGAGGGAAACTGGGGACATTGGTGGAGGAAAGTGGGCAATGGTGAAGGAAATCCTGTTGGAACATGGTCCACCCAAAACTCAACATGGATAACTTCATAACTTTGTAATTCATGGTGATTCAATTATTTATAAAACTTTAAAATCTAGATCCAGGGCTGGAGAGATAGTATAGGGGCTAAGCAACTTGATTTCTATGATGCTAACCCACATTTGATACCTGGCACTATATAACGTTCCCAAGCCCCACCAGGAGCAATAACTCTGCGTAGAGCCAAGAGTAAGCCCTGTATATAGTTGGGATTACAAACCAAAATAGACAAACAAAAAACTGTACACACAAACCTAGATTCAATGAAGAAAAACTTGAACTGAAAAGCCAGGGATATGGTTCAGTGTCAGCACATATAGTGAGGCTCTGGGTTCAATTCTTAGTACTGAAAAAAAGAGAAAAGAAAAATATTAAAAATTGATAAATTTGCTACCTTTTACAATGTATGGAAGATTTTTCATAAACAAAGTAATACTTTATACTTTATTGCTTGGATGTACAAAAACAAACTCAAAAATATATATAACATTTATAACAAATAAATGTCTAATACAGAAATGTATATTTGCATTTGGAGGTTGTGAGGGAATCTAACATGAGGTCTCATATATTTGAGGCACGCAGTCTACCACTGAGCTATATCCCAGTCCCTATAGATAGTGTATAAAGAAAACTTGGGGGCCACATAGATAACACAAATACCCGGGTTCATGATTGATATACATGTAGGATGCCCAGATTTGATCCATGGCATTGCATGGTAGCCCCTAAGTCCACTGAGTATAGCCCAATATTTTTAAATTATGGGGTTTTTTGAGGGTGCATTGGGTCACATACATTGGTGCTCAAGGTTTACTCCTGGCCCCGTGCTCAGGGATAGCTCTTGGTAATGCTCAGGGAACCATGTGCAGTGCTGATGATTCACACCAGTGTTCGCTGCATGTAAGGCAAGTGCCTTACCTCCTGTACAATCCCTCTGACCCTCTCCCCACTGGAAGGGTCCAGTGATGTAACTCTGTAATAAAGTGCATCTCTTGCATATTCATAATGTGCTATATTCAGTCCTGGCATCACAAAACCTGCAACAGTGAAAGAAAACAACTTGGAAAATGAGGAGAGAAAATCTAAAAGCCCCAAAGAAAATATGGAAAAGAACAGTTCAAAAAGATATTAAAATTGTTCACTAAACACAAATGCAAAATAAAATGTCAATTGAGATATCTTCTTTCTTATCCATAACATTAGTAAAAACTGCATAACTGAAACCCAAGCACAAAAATTTGTAAGTCTATAACTGTACCTCATGGTGTTTCACTAATAAAATTTTTTTTAAAAGTCAGGGAAGTGCATGTGCTGCCTGAGCACATGTGTTGCTACGGAGTGCGTGGGATGCCTGAGCACATGTGTGGTTGGCATCCCCCTTCCTGAGATGTGTACTTTCATTCCTTCATACTTTACTGCTTGGATGTTTAGTAGGGCTCTCTCCATCTTTGTGCCATTTTTTTCTTGACCGCTTTACTCTCTTTCTTTCCCTCCCTCCCCTTCCTCAAAACTTCCAAATAAAACCTTTTTTTTACTTCAAAGAAATTTCAGAGTGTGTCACAAGTTATGGTGGAAAGAGTATGGAGAAACAACCACTCTCCTATATTGTTGGTGGCATAGAAAAAAAAAGGAGAGAAAAAAAAAAAAGAGGTCTGAGGCTCAGAGGAGAGGACAAACTAGAGCTGTGGATTTGGGAATCATCTGTAGGTGGAGGAAAATGAACAGAGTACATCCAGGGAGAGAGGCCATGTGTACCGAGAGGATAAAAAGGTGAGGAGCATCGCTGGAAGGAAGCAGCCAGTTTCCCAAGGGCTCTGGAATCAGCCAGAGCGCGAGGACCATTGGGGCTCAGTGCTGGGCTCTCTAGGCCAAGTCGGGTACCTCCCGGTGATCACCACCACACCTAGAGATTATGGGCATCTCAAAAAGGGTGCAGTACCCGGTGCTGGGATGCACCAGGTGAAGCACCTGCGGTCAGCGGGCTGCCCACCTCCTCCCTAGATAAATCCCCCCTCACCCCGTGCCACCACCGGCTGCCCCCAGTCTGGAGCTGCCCAGTCCCTCGGGGAGGGGGGCGGGGGGCGGAACTGGGGGCCGAGCTCTGGTGACGCCACGGTCACATGACCGGCCGGGCGCCGACGTGGGCAGCAGCCCCGAGCCCGCCCTGCGGTCCGGTCCCCGGCGTAGTCCGCGTGGAACGGGCTCCGGGAGCAGCCCGGGCGGCGGGCGAGGGGCGAGCGGGCTTCGGCGAGCCCGAAGAGGCGCAGGCCTGCCCCGGTCCCCCGCAGGTCAGTGTGAAGGGGGCGCTGACGGCGGCCCCCTGCAGGGCTGGAGGAGGATGCAGCAGGACCCCGGCCGCGGCACGGACGGTGGAGGGCGGGAGACCCGGGGGTTGGTGAGGGGGTCCGGGACCCGGTGTGCGCAGGGAGGGAGGGAGGCCGCTGCCACTGCCCTGCCGCGTCTTCGACCCTCCTGTTTCTGAGCCCCCCCTCCATTTTTCAGCCTGAAGTGATGGGAGAAAGGCGCCCCCGCAGTGGCGGTGCGACAGTGAAACGTAGAGATTCTGGAAAAAGCCCCCTCTCACGCGCTGTGCCTAGGAGGAAATTTAACCTCCGCAGAAGGGGTGGGGGTGGGGTGCCTGCAAGGGAGGAGGACGCGGAGGCTGAACAGTTTGGAAAGCATCCTGATCTGGAGCCAGAGGCCTGAGGAGTAATGGCGGCTGGGATTCGGGGGTGGGGGGTAATGTGGGGGGGAGGAGGGCCTAGCTTCTAGAAAGGTATCTCAGACCACAGTGTGCACAGTCCCTGTCCCTGCCTCCTGTAGGTCTGTGTAGTCAGTTTCCAGCGCTCTGCAAGGCTAGGAAAGGAGGAACTGCCCTGAATCCCTGCAGGTCAGTGAAAGGGGATGGGTGGGAGGGAAAGCAGGAGGTGGCGTCTGCAAAGGTATCTCACGCCACAGTGTGCACTGTCCCTGTCCCTGTCTCTGTCTCTTGTAGGTCTGTGCATCAGTTCCCAGCACTCTGCAAGGCTAGAAAAGGAGGAACTGTCCTGAGTTCCCGCAGGTCAGTGAAAAGGGATGGGTGGGAGGGAAAGCAGGAGGATGGGGGCATGTCTTGGGCAGAATTTGGGGGCCCTTCTGCTCATCCTCCAGCCACAGAATCACACACACAGGGCCACACTGAAGGGAGGCACAGAAGGTGGCAGGATATTCCAGGGAAATGATAGACTCACATCTGAGGGAAGAACACAGTGAGGTTAGTGGTGGGCAAAAGGCACACTCAGCGCCTGGGCCTGGTCAGGGGAACCCTGACAAGAGGAAACAGAGGAGCCGTGGGAACTTGTGTTCCACCCCACCCCCACTCCCGCTTTTCGTCTCCCTTGTCTCATCTTATTCCCTACTTTTCCCATCACATTCCCCAGGACAAGAAAACAAGGAGAAATCTCAACATGGAAAACCTCTACAAAGAAAACGAAGGAAAGCTGGAAAGTGAGACAAAGCCAGAAGTTGAAGTAGAGCCGGAAGATGAGGAAGAGTCAGATGATGATGAAATGCCCCACATCAAGAGGAATCCAGTGCATCGAAAGCGCAAGGTTGTGGAGCTGGCAGATGAAGAGGGGCAGTCTGAAGAAGAGGGCAAGCAGGGAATGCAGGGCAAGTCCAAGGATGAGGGAAACCCACTCAGTGAGGATGAGCCAGACTTCCAGGGAAAGCCAGGGAGCGAGCCACGGGCTGCTGAGAAGCGCCCTGCTGAAGATCATGTGCCCCGCAAAGCGAAACGAAAATCGGACAGGGGGGTGGAGGATTCATCCAGAGACTGTCAGGAGAATTTACAGGAGAGGCACTTGGGCAGTGAGGAGATGAGAGAATGTGGAGATTTGTCAAGGGCTCAGGAAGACCTAAGGAAAAAGCAGAAAGTGGGTGGCTTTCATTGGACACAGAGAGATGTGCAGGACCAGCTCGCGCCAAGGGGCCAAAGAGGTGTCAGGGGAGCGAGGGGTGGAGGTAGGGGCCAAAGGGGATTACATGATATTCCTTATCACTAATGCCTTTGGCCTGGAATTCTGATTTCTCAGAGGAGAATATTGCAGACCCTGCTTTTCCTGGCAGTCATTTGCCAGGCCTTGTGCTTTAACCTTATGCCAATACTTTGCTTTAGGTGTCACTCTTGTTACCAGCAGCCTTTTGACCCAGCTAGAGTGCTCCATCAGTAGGGTATATTCACCCAGATGCATGAAATAGATGTTATTGTACATTGTTAACAATAAAGAAAAATCTGTTTTGAGAACTGCATTATGGCATCAGCCTATTTTTTGTAAAAATATTTTGCATCATGCATAGGTGCACAGAGAAAATTCTGGAAGTAAGTCCAAATCACCTGATGACTAGAAACCTTCATTTCATTCTTCTGCAGGTGTGCCCATGTCCTTGTCTTCGTCTAAGGTCCTCTAGCCAGAGGTCTGGCTCCTCTCGGGTGATTTTGTCTTGCTTTGCTCTTCTTTTTACTAAAGGATATGGATTATTTTATCATAATAAAAATAAATACAGTAATCAGTACATGATAAACAATTTAAACATCCAGTGTCACTGTTCAAAGTCACTGTTAAGAGACAGGGCTTTGGGACCAGAGAGATAGTACGGGGGGCAAGTCACTTGCCTTACATGTGACTCCCCAGCATATGGTCCCTTAAGCCTGCCAGGAGGGAACCCTGGGCACAGAGCCAGGAGTAATCCCTTAGTACAGTGTTGCCCAAAAGCAGACTATGAATAGGAGACTAGATTTTACTAGGAAGAAGGTATTTGATAAGGTGTCTCCAGAATATGTAAATAATATTCATAATGCATATAATATATAATATATAATATAATATAATATATAATATAATATAATGCATAATGCATATAACAAGATAATTAAGACAGTTTTGAAAGTAGGGAAAGATTAAATAGACACCTCACCAGTGAGATGAAGATGGCATATAGTTAACATGAAAGGATGTTAATCATCAGGGAAATGAAAATCAATATGATGAGATACCACATATTAGAGTGGCTAAAGTGGAAAAAAAACATTAAAAAGGTCTTGGAGGGTCAGGGAGCTAGCTCAGTGGGCTGAGCACATGCTTTGTACACAGAAGCCTTAGGTTCAATTCTCAGCACTGGATGGTTCCCTGAGCACTGTCAAAAGTGATCCCACAAGGACTGGGCAGGGAATAGCCTCAAGTATGTCCAGATGTGGTCATCCTAAATAAAGTTCTTGCAAAGATGGAATGTTTGTTGTTGATGGGAATAAAAACCGAAATGGCCACTTCGAGACAGTTTATCGGCATACACTTATAAAAGGTCCCAGGAATTCTACTCCTAGGTATTTTAACAGTAATTACAAATGAAAATTTACTAGTTTGGGGACTGAAGATATATGTCAGCGGTATAACAACTGCCATGCATGTGTGAGGCCCTTGGATCAAGCCCCAGCATTGCAACAACAAAAAGTTCTGTGATAATTTTTATAGTTTTATTCATAATAGCTCCAAACAGGATAGAATACAAGTGTCCCCAAATAGTGAATGTGTAAACAAACAGGTCTGGCTCTACACAATATAATGTTACTAGTAAAAAAGAAAAAATATATTGGTACGTGTAAAAAATAAGAATTAGTCTTATATATACTTATATATAATTTAGGCTAAGTAAAAGAAGCCATATTCCCCACTCCCCCAAAAAGTCTACAGTCTGGTATGCTTTCCATTTATAAGATAGCACTGTAGCACTGCCCTCCCATTGTTCATCGATTTGCTCAAGCTGGCCCAGTAACGTCTCCATTGTGAGACTTGTTGTTACTGTGTTTGGCATATCGAATACACCACGGGGAGCTTGCCAGGCTTTGCCGTGCGGGCGGGATACTCTTGGTGGCTTGCTGGGCTCTCCGAGAGGGACGGAGGAATCAAACCCGGGTTGGGCAGGTCGGCTGCATGCAAGCAAAGCTAAAGGGTTCGAAGTAAAATTGATTAAATAATATAATGGGGAGGGGGCAGAGAGACAGTACAGGGCTTGCACACAGCCAAGCCTCCTTAGATTCCTGGCACCACATACAGTCTCCTGAGCATTGATAGACAGGATCCCTGAGCACAAGAGCCAAGAGTAAGCTCTGAGTACCTCTGTGTACACACACACAAACACACACTCACAGAGATGTTATTCCTAACGGTAGAAACTTTAAAACTTATATTCAGTTTAACAATTGTATCCTGTTACAAAGAGATCAGATTTTTATTAGACATATGCAAGTAACTATACTGCCCACAAAAATACTCACTGAATACTTCTAAATTCTGGTGGGACCAGGGAGGGTGAAAAAGAAATATTTCAGCTTGCTCTTCAAGCCTTTGTTCTTTCTTGAATCTTCATCTCCCCGCCCCCCACTCTCTCTCAGCCTCCTTCCCTCCTACCTCCCTGCTTTACTCTGGAGAAGTCTGTGTTCGCTCTAGAACTCCCTTCTTTCTCTCCTGATTCATCTTTCTAAGTAAATTCTGTTCAATAAAAATATCTTGCTTCACTAAAAAAGGATAACTATTTCAGGGCCATGGATGTGACTCCAGTGGTACAGCACATGCCCTGTCACATATGCAAGGCTCTGAGTTTGATCTCCACACAGATGTGCCCCTGGTGACCACCACACCCACCAACACCAGCCTTACAACAGTAGAACAAACATTGAAAAGACCTATATGCTTATTCTGTTTACAAGGGCACAATTTACCAAACTGGTGTGAGTTAAAGGAAACAAAAGAAAAGGGAAAAATTCTTTAAATCTGGAAAAGCAAACATTAAAGAACCATCATTGCTTTAAACTAAGTGTCATTTAAAAGTGTAAGTTGCCAGGGAGATGACTCCAATGATCTCTTGCATTCAGGAGGCCCACAGTTCTGACCCTAGCACTACAAGGTACCCGAACGCCATTAGGTGTGCCCCCTCTCCCAAACTATAATCATTATAACCAGTTCATTTACTTCCATGTTCCTGTTGTGCCTGAATACAATTTTCCATTGGATTTTTGAGAATTGTTTCTTAGTTCTTAAAATAATCATAAATATGATTTCTAGAGTACTTGTATGAGTATTTTCCTGAATCTTTCTAAAGATGAGAACCTGCAAAAGCCTTAGAGTAAAGCAATAATATCTATAAAGGACATCACTTTAAATATGGCCATGGTAAATGATCTGATGAGAGTTTAGTTAGAAGAAATATAGGGCTGGACAGATACCTCAAAAGACTCATCTGTATGCTTTGCATGCCAGATATTAGAGTTTGATCTCTGGCACTGCATAGTCGCCAAGTACTGAAAGGAGCCAGAAGAAGCCTATGAGCACCACTTAGTGCTCATAAACATAAATCAATCAAAAGGAAATTTATTTATTTTTGTGGCATCTAGAAAATTAATATAAAATTTTTATAGATTATTTTTGGTTTGGGGGGACACATGTCACCGTGTCAGGGCTTGTTCTCTAGGCTCTGTGCTCAGGTATCACTTCTAATGGAACACAGGGAACCATATTGCACTTAGGGCATAGAGGACCATACTGCAAGTGCCTTCTCTGCAAGTAACTGAGAGGACCATACTTCAAGTGCCTTACCTGCAAGTACCCTACCATCTCTCTGACCTCAGTATAGAGTAATTTTTATAAACTTTAAACAATTCTATAGTACTTATATTAGTAACATACAAATATGTAACCTACGAAGATTACCATCACTTTTTGGGAATGGAGTTTGGGCCATATCCAAAAGGTTCAGGGCTTATTCTTGGCTCTGTGCTCAAGGAACCATATACTTGTTGCTGGGCATTGTGCAAGGGTCAGCTGCATACAAGAGGGACACCTTAACCCCTGTACTCCATTTAGAATGGATTTAATTAAAAGACTACAAATGCCAACTGGTTTAAACATATGAGGTGGTCATTACATAGGACCACCTTTTATTATAAAACCAATGATTTCTTTAACCTATATGTCAATATATATATTTTTTTTATTTTTTGGGCCATATCCAGGTATGGTCAGGGTTTACTCCTGGCTTTACACTCAGGGATCAATCCAGTTTGGGAGCTCATTTGGGGTACTGGGGATCAAAACAGGTCTGGTAAATCAGGTGTCCTACCCACCGTACCATCTTTCCAGACCTGACAATAAAGGATTTTATGATCAAATATAGGAGCCATAAGAGATTGCTCGATGTACTGAGGGTATGTTTTGCATGAAGGGGGCATGGATTTGAACCCCAGTACCACACTGTTCCCCAACACCACCAGGAGGAGCTCTGAGGAAAGAGCTGGGAGTAACTCCTGAGCACTGCTTCAGTGTGCCACAAAAAAACAAATAACTAAGCTCAAATAGAGAAGGTTAAAAAATTGACTAAAACTTTAGCTCCTTTACTATTGAGAAGACACAGTTGTCTCAAATAACCAAAGACCTGATAAAGATAACGTAAAGCTCAAGATATCATTTGTGTAAGACACAAAATATTTGTTTTATAGGAAGATTACTGAAAAAGAAAACATTTCACAATCTCTTATCAAGGGCAGGACAATCTCAAGAACAATTTGTTTTCTTAATACAGAGAAAAACGAGGGGGGAGGGGGGAGGCCCAGGCACCACTCCTGGGTTTACTCAACCAACTGGGCTGGGTTGCTCAATGTGAGGCCCTGGGGGCAGTGACACAAAGTGCTGAAGATTGGACCAGGACCTGAGCATGTAAAGCACGCACCCTTGGTCCCTGCACTATGCCCTGGAGCCCCAAACTCTAATTTTTGTATCCAAGAACTGTTTTTAACTAAAGTTTACACTTCACCTTTTAGATGATATGGTGATTGGAAAGTTGCAGACTAGGCTCTGATTTTTGCAAACTTTGTTGCAATGCTTTCTGGAGATTGCCCAATTTTTAATGCTTAGGAACCTTAATTTCCAGTGAAAACAAAGAATTGTACATTGTCTCTTACACTAACATACTGTGAATTGAAAAGTATAAGTACTTCATAATTTCTAGAAGAATATTCTTCCTGCTGTGAAAAATTTCAATATGCTATACTATATGTTTACATAAAAGACCCAAAAGATTTATTTTATAATATGAAACCCAAATCAGATAAGCCTATGTACAGTAATTATCATTTGAGAATTATCTTTTATAGAAATGACTTTGAATATTCAATAAAGATATACATTAAAAACTGAGTATAACTTTAAGGTTTACAGTTACCAAAAAAGATTATGGAAACTGGGGCTAAAGCAATACTA